GCTCTCTCTCTCTCTCTCTCTCTCTCTCTCTCTCTCTCTCTCTCTCCCTCTCTCTCGGAGTGGGGTTGGGACATCGAAGCGGCTCTAAAGATGTGGAGATGTCAAGTCGACGCTTGGCACACTTGATCAATATACATGTACTCAAGATCTACTTTTACTCTCTCTTCCGTAGCCACCCAGTATTCTCCAATGACGGCCTGGTGATAATATTACGATTCTTCCGAATTACAAAGTTTTGTCTGACATTTTTTGCCATTTCGAGTTACTAAGACCTTGAGATCAGAAGGCATATTATGCACTGTCTGCTCTATCAGAATTGTTACAATATTCGGAGTCGCTATCAAGATATTTAAAGAATGACTTTTGAAAAAGCTTGACATATTGTGAAACTCACAAACTTGGAAGTCACATTTTGTTAAAAATAGGTCTTAGGCAGAGAGAGCTTTGTAATTCTGATGTAGTGATTTGTCAACAGATGTAGCCTTAAACGCAATGATGCCATGTAAGTGACCTCCATTCGTCATTATGCTAAATGGAAATCATTGTCACATAATCCAAGTTCTGTTTAGTCATTCTCGTCATCAAGAACAGTCGATCAAAGTGAACTTCAACCGTACATTACACCATATGACATGACCTTGTGTGAGTTTGATGTATGTCGGTGACCGGCAGTTATGGGGTCAGTAGAAGTCATTCAAAGTCTTATTTTATCCATGCATGGACGCGTCTTTTTTAGCCTTGCCTTACTGGTGGCGATTCACATGATTTTGGTGGATATGAGGGGGAGGGGTGAGAGGACAGATTGTTACAACACAAGGGAATTGTTTAGCTTGACAGTATACCGGAGAATTAAAACTAAAAATCTAATTCTTGGTTTAATAATAGCTCTATTCCGTATAGCGCGCATATTGTGTATGTGCCCGCATAACGCCTTCTGTGTATGGAGTCTAGGTCCTGACAAGTTGTTCCTGTGTGAAAACACTAGCCATCACGACTGTTTGAACTATTTTCAAAATCAACAATTAGTATAGGACATACAGTGATAGTTAGATTTAGCATCACTGCCCCCCTTTCGCTTTTCCTTTGATTCTGATTTGAAAACCATCTGTGAACTTACTTGTATTGTATGCTTTGTCTTACATGTTGCTATTCCCGAAAGCCGGGGATGTTTTTTATCAGTTGTGGTGTGGCCTAAATTAGATTTTTTTTATTCATAAAAAAAAAGAAATATGCAAGTATAGGCTGAAATACTAACCGTGTCGAACAAGACCTGTGCCCGGTAGCCACGCCATTGTCGAAAAATATTTTTTGATTTTCCAAAAACGTTTTGGACTTGTACATGTATGTTGTTGTCTGCCTTTTATGATGTGGATATGTTGACATATTATTCGCTGAAAAAGATAATGTCTTATTATATTATATACATTGAGAAGATGATGAGCCTATTATATGCAAGTCATGATTCAAAAACATAATTGTTGACTGGAGCCCTTCTCAAGCGTATAATATAATTAATATCAGGTCTATGTGTCAAACACAATGCCACAGTATCACACCACGAGTTATAGACCTATTGGGTTGTTGTTGTTGTTGTTTTTTTAACCACAAACTAAGCAAAATATAATCTTTTTAAACAAGCAAAGAGACGAACATTAGCCATGTTGTCACATTAAAAAGGGAACGGCTGTCATTATTTCCGACAAAACCTATGATTCTTCTCTAATTCGTACTACTTTTATGAATTTGTTTTCAATTTCAGGTGCACATAGGTTATCTCCCCAACAATAAGATTCTTGGTCTCAGCAAGCTGGCCAGGTGAGTTTGAACTTACATTTATTGTTTTATGCGTACAATATTTTTGTTCATTTTGGTTGTTTTCTTTGGGGCTTTTGGTGTTGGTGTTGGGGATTTGTTGTTGTTGTTGTTGCTATAATGTTGTTTTGTTTGTCTTTTGTTTTGTTTTGTGGGGGGGGGGGGGGGTTC